AGGTACAGGTTGAAGTGTAAACTGAAAGGGATGCTACTGTGAAATCCAGAAGAACAATAAAATGAATAGGTCATGTGGCTAATCCCCTTCATATCATTTTTTGGAATAAATTTACAAAAATGTCATCACATTCCCCCACTGCAGTTCAATTGCAAAGCTTACACTAGCCTCTCTTGTGTACAACATATGGATGGAGCGCAAGAGAAGGGCATTTAAAAAGACATCATTATCCCAAAATGCTCTACTTCAACAAATAATTGACTTGATCAGGCTGAAACTCATGTCCTCAAAATTCACAGACTCACCACCCTCCAGGCGTATCATTGAACTCTATGCTTCTGTAATTCGCCTCCTGATGAACCCTAACTCATGTAGGAGGAATCTCCTCTTGCCACGGCATAGTGTTGTATCCTGTTGGGGATAACTGTCATTCTGTTGCTACCTATGGGCTTGACCAACATTTGGGCTTGGATAACCAATGTTTGGTTTTTTGGTTCTTTTGGGCCTTGTATCTGGGCTTGGTTCTCTTTAGTTAGCCTGGGCTAACTATCTATCTTTTTCTGTATCATGGTTTATGATTCAATACAATCTTATTAACCTTTCAAAAACAAAAACAAAATGGCACAATACCAGTTTAAGTCTTAGGTCTCCCCAAAACCAAAACCACAAGATTATTACCAGTCTTCTTCCATCATAATATAGTATATGTCATGTACCCTAAAAATAATATTAAAAAAAACAAAAAAAATTGAGTCCATTTTATTATCGCATCCACCATTCTCAATATTTATACCAAGTGTAAAATTAGGCACGTGACATTTTAGTTGATAAACTTATGCAGAAATTATTATATAAAGGTTAAGTACAGAAAATATTCTTAAAAAATATTTAAAGTATATATTACATCCGTGTAGGGATGGCAATGAGGCGGGTTGGGGCTGGTTTATCATTCCCCATCCCCATCCCCATCCCCTTTTAAATTTGGCACCCCCAAAACCGCTCCATAACCGATTATTTTTTTACCCCTAATCCTCATAACCACCCCCGCCCCATCCCCGCTTGCCCCGCCCCTGGCCCATAACCAATTAATTTTGAAAATTCCAAATTTTTTGATTCTACAGAAGTTCTATAACAAAACTACATAAATCTTAAAATCTCTAACAGATTCACATAAATTTGATATTTCAAGCAACATCATCCAACATCATCATTAATCAATCAAAAATAACATTCTTCCAAGAAAAAAGAAATTCCAAAAAAATAGTCAAAAAAACAAGCATAAGAGTTTCCAACAATAGCCTTAATTAAGAGGAATAAAACTATTCAAAACAGTAGAAATATAGAAATCTTTGGAATATAGAAAGCCTAAAAGAAATCATTAGAAATATAGAAAGTCGGAAAGAAATCTTTAGAAATATAGAAAGTCTGAAAGTAAAAGCAGTATAGTGTTTATAAAATTATAATAAAATATTTTCACTTATTAATCAAGACCGGTTTTGGGACGGATTCGGGGCAGGGACCTGAGTCCCCCGCCCCCGCCCTGAAACCGGACGGGTTTTTTTTTAAACCCCTATCCCCACCCCCATTTAAGTAAACGGTTCCCCAAACCCGTTTTAAACGAGGTGGGGGTGGGGCAGTTACTCACCAGGTTGGAGATTTTTGCCACCCTTACTTACGTGTAAAAAATACTCCTAAAGTTTTAATTTGATGCAAATGGTTTCTCTAACAAATTTAAACCCTAAGTTGACTAAATTACCCTTATTAAACCATTTTATAAAATATATAAAAATAAGTAATTTTATAAAATGACACAATTGGAGGATGTCCTTCTCGTGCAAAAAAAACTCCCCTAAAGTTTCAATTTAGTACAAATAGGTCCCTTTAACAAATTTAAATCTTAAGTTGACTAAATTACCCTTACTGAAATATTTTATAAAATATATAAAAATAAATACTTTTATAAAATGACAAAAAATGACACTATTGGAGGATACTGGCAATGGACAAGTAAAGATAAAAATATAAAATAAAAAGAAAAGTAAAGATAAAAATATAAAATAAAAAACAAAAATAAAGTACAAACTAAAGAAAATAAAAATTTTCCAAGCTCCGAAAAGCAGTGCACAATGATATTAGGATTTTTTTTTTTTTTTTTAACAGTATTGCTACAAAAAAAAAAAAAAATTAAATTAAATAAAGAAAGAAAAAAATTTAGTAGAAAAGAGTAAACTAAAATCTCAAAACATTCAAATCCTTATTATACAAATGCTCAAAGTTTTTTTTTTTTAAAAAAAAAAAAAATTGTTTAAAGATATATATATATATATATAGAGCAAAAAGTTTCAAAAAAAAAAAATATATATATATATATATATAAAAGGTAATGTGCACATAATATTCCTATGCTATGAGATTAGTAGCATATATACTCCTTGGGCATTTTCGGAAGAGTAAAAGGGCAAATGGGTATTACAATACTAATTTATGTCAAAAAGAGTATTTTTGCACAATGTGAAAAGATTAGAAGTGTTTTTTACATACTTTTACAAATATGGGGTAAAAGTGTTACGTGGAATATACTTTAGGGGTGTTTTCTGCACTTGTCCCCACTATATAAACACCAACTTTGGAATGGTTGAATACTATAATTAAACGTTTTTAACTAAGAATGTAAGTAATTTAAATAAATAAAATGTGTTGGGTTATCCCACAATACCCAAATTACTGTCTGATGGGCATATATATAGTTAGGGGTGCACACGGTTCGGTTTGATACGATTCCTGATAGATTGGAAACGTTCCAACGGTTCCTAAAAATTGGAATTGGAACCGAACCCGTTGGGACATGGAACCGGAACCAAACCGAACCGGTTCCACGGTTCCGATTTCCTTTTTTTTTTTTTAATAGCAATACCTTGGGCCAAAACTAGCATTAATAGGCATATATATATATATACTTAGGCATATATATTAGTAATTATATAATTAAAAAATAATATATATTATTATTAAAATAGTTCTGACTCCTAACGGTTCCAATTTCCAGACTCTGGAACCAGAATTCAACGGAATCATTAGGAATCGGAACCGAAGCACCGGTTCTGGTTCCACCAGTTTTTTGTGCACCTCTATACATAGTCAACCCGCTTACACAAAACAATAGACTCTTAAGACCTAGCATTCTCGTTGGCATGCATGTTAAATAAAAAAGAAAGAAACTGTAAATTGTATTGATGTATAAGATGTTACATACAGGTCCTCTATATAGGGGTGGCAATTTTTACCACCCCGTTAATAACGAATATGGGAAGAACTTTTATACCGTTAGGGCAGGTATGAATACAAATTTTGTTCCTGTCGCGAGTCATGGGGCAATTTTGTTCTTGCCGCGGGTCATGGGGCGGGTAAGGGTTCTTATACATATCTGCCGGAGCCCCGCCCCGCTAAGTATATATATATATATATATAATATTAATAACTTATTTTACCGACTTACACAGTTATTCATTTCTTATAACCCTAATTTCTTAAGCCTTATGTATGAACTGAGCGGCGCATCAAGGGAAGACAGAGAGAGTCAAAACGCATAAACCAAACCTTCGACCTCAATCCCTTTCTCCCTCAGCAGTCTCTGTTTCTCTTTCTCAGGTAGATCCACGCACTCACGTAGGTAGATCTATTCTTCTTCAGTTCTTCTTCTCTCTTTTTTGTGCTTATATATATATATATATATATATCTTATTTTATAATTTATTTGATCTATTCTTCTCAGGTAGAGGCAGAGAGATTGATCTATTCTTCGTCTTCTTTTGTTCGAGCTATTCAACCAAGAAAATTGTGGAAGACAGAGGGGGACACCAGATCAATTTTTGAGCCAAGAAAATTGTGAAAAAAATTTGTTAGTGGGGCGGGTACGGGGCACAATATTTCCCAACTGGGTAGGGCGAGATTTAGGGAAACCGGCTCCAAACCTGTCCCGTTACCATCCCTACGTATATTTAGGAAAAGGTTTGGAGGTAGATGAGTGATGAACAAGTAACCTATATATACTAATATGGTAGGTGTATTCATATATGGTAATTTATAATATGCAATAAATTTAGATGGTAGGTAAATAGGTAAACTTATAACATAACAATTTTAATACCAGAATTTTTAAAATCAATTTGATACAATCAACCATGTTATATGAGCAATAATACAACACTGAATTCATCAAACGAACGTCCCATTCAAAATAAATGGCCTCATTAGCTTTTCACATAGCATTTTAATGTATTGTTTTAATGCAAGAATTCTTTAAATGCAAAATTTTAATGAAAGAATCTAAACCCACTAGGCCATTATAAGAAAAATAGGAGGTTTGAACAAACTTCATGTGACTCCGCTTTGGTTTCTTGAAATTAATGATAAAAGTTCATATTTTTAACATCGTTTTATGTATGTTGGTCCTTTCCACTTAGTCTTTTCTTAAAAGGCTAAAGTAAGGAAGAAATATGCACGACTTTCTCGAAGTGCTAACTTCCTCGGGAATGTTTAGGGTATTAGCAGAGAATCCATGCTCGCTAATATTATATATGCCCAAGATATTTATTATACTTGAAGTAGTTTGGTGAATCTTATATGCCCAAGATAAAAATAAGAATAAAAAAATCTCTTTATTTATGTTTTTTTACAACCTGATGAGGATTATAAGACTCAATTTTTTAGTTCTATGAAACATATACTAAAAAATGAAGCACAAGAACATTATATTATCAATTACTCACATGTTCTCATTCTTGAATCAACCAACTACCTAAGTTAATTAACAGCTGCCAAATTTAGTGAAACTAGTAATAGTTTAATTAATTGAAGCATGTGAAATCTACCTACTAAAGCTAGCAAGAAATGATACTTTCTCATCCTATAAATTAGTCTAGATAAAGTATAAATATTTAGGTAAATTAATTACACCAAGTCACAAAGTATTATAATTACATACCAGAGGGGTAATTATTTCACTTGTGATGTTTGAAAATGGTATCCAAGATCTTCATCCTCCCCTCCATTATATCACGGCTACAGTCTTCGGTATGTTTACTCAGATCGTCAATGGATTTCATAAACCCGTCCAGCTTCTTCTTCATCTCATCCATAGCCAGTATCACAGCCGTCTCTTTTTTAACAGCGAAATCAGCATTATGCAAGAGTGACTCAATCTCAATTTTCGATCTATCCACGAGTACTCGAACATGGTCCAAGTCACATTTCCCAATGCAAGTCCAACGTTCTAATGAAGTCATTACCTCGCTCTGTCCTTTTAGATCATTCTCATACTTCTTCCAAAGGGAATTCATCCATTCACCCATCGTCCCCATCGGCAACGCAGCCGCAGCTGCCAACGCAGTCACAACCGGCGGTGCAGCAATCGCGGTAGCCAAAACAGAGCATATCAGAACAGAAGTAAAAGTCACAACAAAAATTACATTTGATACAGTCCTCCAAGCCTTTATTTTCTTCAACTTCTTATCAAGCTTACTCTTCTTAGCTGCCAATTTCTCTAGCATTGAACTTTGGCTCTCATAAACAGATTTTAACATCTCATTTTCCCGTAGGGTTAAGCTGCATTCTTGTTTCTTGGGGTGTTTTTCATAAATACTGAATCCGGCGCACCTACTACTGAAAGGGTTACCTGCGGTGAGTCTGCCGTAAAAGGGTTACCGGCGGTGGTGAAGTTCTTCAGTTCCTGCAGCGTACTCTCATACATTTTCCTCTTCCCATTGAAGATGAAAAAATTGTTCTCCCTTCGAGGAAAATCTTTCTGTTCTTGTTCAAATTGATCTATAGCATGTTGAATCGTCAGTTGGCTGTCTCGGGCACGATTGAGGCACTTCTGGAGGGCATTACAAACATCCAAAGTCAGACCACTGTTGTCGAAGTAGTCCTTCACAAAATCAAGCAAGTAATTGTTCTTCAATATGTCATTTTTGCATTCCAGAATGAGTTTGACCACTTCTTGATACGGCTTGAGGATGCAGTCTGTGAGCTCTCTCAGTGAGTCAAGAGAGAGTGACCGGTCCCCGACGTCGGATGAGAGGCTGTTGATGACTCGGCTGGTGCTTTGTTTGATGCTTGAATCGAATGATTGAAGAAATGGCTCGCGTTGACAGGAATCCCGGTAGAAGGTCAGATCAGAGGTGAGATCGGAGGTGATTTTTGAATATCGATCATGGTTCTTTATTTTGCTAGAATGAGCACCCATTGTTTGGAAAATTTGGATTCAATGGGAGACAAATTAGAAAACCCTAAATTTTTCAGAGGCCTGCAATACACCACCTACCCGAGATGAAACACCACCTATGACCTACCCCGGATGAAAAGATAGAAATGGTCTTACAGTCTATTTAAATATAAATATTTATGCATGGTGGGAATGCATTGAATTTGTGGGCAATTACTTTGGGTCCAAGGCAATCCCATCCCCCAAACGTCGTCGCTAGAAGAATATGCCAAATAACCCGAAAAGGACACCCACCTAAAAGGTGCCAATGTTTTACTCAAAGCCCAGCTTTCTTGAGCCCACATGTACTCTTCTTCAAACCCAGTTTTGAAGAACCTAAATGAGCATCACCAACCCCACAATACTTAATCCAAAGTCCTAACCAGCTACTATGAACAAATAACAAATAAATACCTCATTTTTAAATTAACAAATCAAACATGATAATTAATCATTTTTAAAATTAACAAATCAAACATGATAATTAATCATAATTTGTAAATCACTTACTAAATCATAGATTAATAATTAATGGTAATTAATTACTATATTTAAATAGATAATTAAAATAGGGGTTAAATATAATAAAAAACTATCAAACTATCAAAATTGTAAAAGACTACCTAAACTATACAGATTTGTTGCAAATCACTCCATCCGGCGACCGGCCATCCAAAAACTAAACGCGTGATTCTTATACGACAAGCAAATTAAATTTTTTGCACACCTGTTCATATATGAAAATACCAAATTGTCCTATAACCACCACTACCGTCTACAACCACCACAAAATTCATGCCCAAACACACCCTTCAGAAATCGTAATCAAAATCAATAAATTACTTGCCCTAAATTGACTGAACCTCTCTCCCCAAAATCAGTCATAGGGTTTAGTAAGACTATAACCATGTCGTTGTTTGTGCAGCGCTATGAATTGGAAATGATGCGGCTCGCGGTCATGGAACGGTGGTGGAGCGGCGGTGAGCTAGGCTGGGTTAAATCCGCGGTCGGCGAACAAGGGAGGTCTAGGCTGTGGAAAAATCAGCCGGTAGAGACGATGACAGAGATAGAGTGTCTATTTCTCTCTCTAAAACACAGGCACTCTATCTCTCTCTCTAAAACACACACACACACACACACACTCTCTCTCTCTCTCTCTCTCAATATAAACCCATTCCCACCTTTCAAAATAAACCCCCTTTACACACACTCTCTCTCTTCTCTCTGTCTCTCATTCCTCATTTTCTACTCTCTCTACTCTGAATTTAATCAAGCTAGAGATTGATACAGAGAAAAAAATGCTGTCAAAATCCAGTGAGCGAAGTCCGGCGAGGGTCCAACAAGCAAGCAAGCACCGGCCGGATCACGTGCAGTGCCCGCGATGCAACTCGATCGACACCAAGTTCTGCTACTACAACAACTACAACCTCTCCCAGCCCCGCCATTTCTGCAAGTTGTGTCGCCAGTAATAGACCCGCGGTGGGACCCTCCGGAACGTTCCCGTCGACTGCAGGACCCGTGAGGCCTCCAGCTCCAACAAGCGCTCTCGCACAGCTCCGAATACTACCACTTCTTCATCTTCGTGCGAGCATGACCCACGACCAGATACCCGCCAACCCGGTTTCAATGATTGCGGGGATGAAACCCGATATCGTCTCGCCGTTGTCCAGCGGGAGTTTCACTTCGCTGCTGAGCACTTAGGGGGCTGGGTTCTTGGCTCTGGGCGGGTTCGGGGCTGGGTTATTGGCTCTGGGCGGGTTCGTGCTTGGGCTCGGAAACTGGTTGAATGAAATGGGGTTTGGACTTGGTACCGCGATTAGGCCCGTTGGGGAAGCCAGTGAAAGCAATGGCTATGGCGGCGGAGGTGGTAAGCGTGGTAATGGGACGTCATCTAATTGCAACAACTGGCAGATGGGTGGTGATGCTGAATGCAGGTTGGCGGATTCGGATTGCTTTGGCTGGCTGGACCTTGCTATTTCCACCATGTCTGCAATTTTAGTTTTGAGAGGGGAAAGAGAGAGAACATTGACGGTAGTAAAAACTACTTCAAGGGTAATATTTTTTATTTTTTCTATTAAGTCAATCACCATAATGGACTGAAATGTAACAAATTCATAGTTCAGGAATTTTTATTTATTTTTATTTTTTTGCTTTTAAACCTTAAAATATAACTTATCCTTAATTCACATCAGTAGTAAAGATGATGTACATTCTCACTGGTGATGACCGAAATATTTGTATTTATAACTGATCTTCTTGAACAAAAATAATATGCCAGTCCAAAATTCAATTCCAAGTCCCTCTAGACCATCGAAGCAAATTTCTACCGACGATGAAGAGTAATCACAATGAAAATGTTAGATCTGACACATAAGAAGGAGCATGTTTGTAATGTTATCGATTTTTCCTATTTTTCATTTTCTGATTTTTTTTTTTTATTTTCTAGATTATTTTTGGCCTTCCCTCGTTTGGTGTGTCGGGCACCGTGGGGTGTGCCGGATGAGTTCTGAGAGTTAACTGATGCATTTCTTCGAGTTCGAGACTCTAAGAAATGCATCGCTGGCTATTTCGGTATTGTTTAGTTTTTCGAGCAGGGTGGTCCCAGGCGGGACCCGCAATCGTAGTTGTAACGCAAGGGATTATTTTTTGGATTTGTTACATTTCATGCATTATTATTTGATGTATGATTATATGGGCCTATGTTTAAATATGTGATTGTAAGGTGTTTAGTGTGTGTATATATATATAAGTTAATGAGATTTTTTTTTTGTTTTTACGGGATCCACCATTATTTAGTCACTTATATGGCCATAAGGCCATTTGCCTAATCATCATTTTCTCTCCTCTCAGTCATGTTTCTCTCTTTCTTTTTCTTTTTCCTTTTGCCATAAACAAGCTTAGATCTAGGTTTTACCTTTAAGATTTTGACATTGCCACTAAAGGCAAAATTAATGAGCATGACCAGAGCTTCGAATTGATCGAAGTAGAATTTCATTTGGAGCACATTGGGATTTTCAAAAAATTAGGAAAATTAGGGATTTTGCTTTAAATTGAGATAGAGGTGTCTAATTGTCAAGTTCCTTGAATTTGGTAGTAATTGTATGTTTTTACCCTCTGTTTATATGTCAATTTGATGCTTAAATCGGATGAATTAATTCTTGGGCTTTAGCTTATGCATGAGTTTTGTCTAATATATAAATTGGTATGAGTATATGTTGGTTTTGTGTACGAATTGCAAAGACATGCAATTAAATAGGCTAAGTGATGGATAATATATTTTTCTTATTTGGTGGTGTTGATGTTTTTTATTAAATACATGCTAAATAATATTTTAATGTTTAGAGCATGCTATAAATATGAATTAAATCTCTATGTGGCCATAGGATTGTCTATTGTGTTATTGAGCATAATGAGTAGTGAGTGATTATTATTGAGGCATTTCTATATGCATGGCATAAGGGTATTCATGGGTATTTAGTTGCATGGATGAAGGATTTGATGTGTGGATACACGAGGGTGTGGATGTGATACATGGACATGTGAGTTATGTGGGTGTGGTGTAGTGTGGTTGCATTGGGGTATTTTATGCATTATCTTGCATATGGATGGTATGATGATATTTGGAGAATAAAAATATTGTATGTGAATTGCTCACATAATCCCTAGCTCTTTTTCCTATTTATTGTCTGAAAGACATGTGATTATTTACTTTGTTTGAGGAGATGCCATTTAGGCAATCTTTACTAAGCCGTTGTGCTCACTCCTCTACATTTTTTAGGTAATGGGGAAGAGTTGATGGATTTTGATCCTCTACATGCATGGACTGTAATACCCCTAATTTTAAAAAGATAGTCTCGGCATTTTAATTAATGGTTTTTTTAAATTTTTTTCCTGATTAATTATTTAATTATTTAATTGTTTAATTGCTTTGTGTGGTTACTTGTGTAATTGTTTGTTTAATTACACTTAGCCATTCTGTTCTTCGTAAAAGTGATCCTAACAGTCTATATTTCAACCAGTATCCTCCCCATCATTTATTTAAAACAGTTTACATTAAAAATGATAATGAAAACAATTACCGATTCATTAGTCTGTAAGATCAAACGATGAAACTCAAACTTGCAAAAACAATTCCAGAGTAAATTAAGCACATACAGACGAGCAATTCAACATATATTAAGCATGCAAGATTCAGTTAATATCCGATTAAGATCCTATAGATCATCTAAGTATGCACAGAACACAGGCCAAAGGGAGAGAGACCGAATAGAACTTGCCTGTGTGGTTTTGAATCAAAACCTCGTCGCCATCTTCCTAAGTTTTTTCGGCGATCGTGACTGCCATCAAGGACTCCTCTGCTCTGGTTCTAACCCTTGAACAGCCCTCAACCTTCCTCCTTGGTCCAGCCTAATCCTTTAGCAAAAACCGTAATCCCCTTCTCTCAGTTTCTCTCTTAAAACTCACTATATTCTCCCATCCCTCTCTATGCTGCTATTAGGGTTTTTCCAACCCTATTGCAGACATCATATGTATTTATAGGTTAAACCTACTCCACCCCTAGTCCTAATTGAAATCCAAAACCGACGGAAAGAAAATGAAACCTAATTACATAAATTATAATGATTAAATATATACATAATTTATAATTATATATATATATATATATGTATACGACTTGAGAAATTCCTATTCTTAACATAAATCATAAATAATTATGAATAATAATACTACTTTATCCTTACATACGTATATACTCAATTAAATATATACCACCATCCACATATGGGTACATACCCGTACTCATCAAACCTCCTGTCCAAGTAGTTCTATATGACCCTTTGGCTGGTCCATTACTACCATCCAATTTCATTCTTTTAAAAACATAAAAATCAAAATAAAATACATTTAAATCATTTACAAATAAAATTATAATAAATTAAAATCATTTAAGCACGTAATAACAAATAACACATAGACAATTA